CAAGTACTAGTAGCGCCTGGCCCACAATGGATGTATGAATGTCAAGAAGGTACCGCTAACTCATCGGGCCCAAAACAACCTGATTCGAACTTAGACACTGACAGTGGCAAGGGACTGCGTTAACAGGCTCTTTCAGTTCTAATCTACCCTGCTCGCTCTGCTTGCAGGCCTGATGATCCGTCTGTTCTGTTCCGGGGGAGCATATGGTTATAAGAAGGCCACTGTAAGGGTAACCCTGGAGACTCCAACGAAAGCCTAGCAGGGGAGGATCCAAAGAGAAGAAACTCTAAGGGTCCGCCTGCTAGGGCGCCAACTATATACTGGTCGTCTGTAACTGCCAACGTAGAGCGCAGAAGGCCTGAGTGGCGTCACAGGCTTTGTCCCAAGGTGATTGTTGGGAGGGTCTTGACGGATCGGTGATTGTGTGGGCAAAGGACGGCCGTGTATGATGGTTGGGATAGGTCGGAGCGTCTGAAGGGGCGCTAGTTGGATGCGCCTCGGATGCGCTGGGAGGGTCCAAAGGAGGCCAAAGCGGGGGTTCCCCTGACAGTCACTGAAAAGTTTGAAAAGTTGAAATGTAAGTCTGAAGTACCTACTATCCCATTTTAATTAATCTGTTACCTGCGCAGCAGCTCTATGACTTATAGAAATTTTCATGTGGGGCTGCCCCAGCCCAGGTGCCATCACCCAGGTCAATTCATCAGCTCTATTAGCACTGTGACTGACGCAAAAAGATTAGTCAGTTTTGATTGAGTGTGATATATGACTGATAAATTGATTAAAATGGGACAGTAAAGGTGCTAACGCTATTGATATCTGTCAGGGAAACCCAATGCTGTCACCTGATCCCATCAAGTGCCACATCTCTGCCTGTGTATCTGCATTTCCAGTAGCGTTGTGCTAAATATTATTTGGGGGATGTTACAAACATGCTAGATATTCTGGACTCTGGACTATATATCTAGCACCTGTTAATAACAATTCTTAGCAAACATGTTAAAACTTGCTACTTGCTAGATAAAAACTATATTTAACGTGCTATAAAGAATTGACTATGCTAAAAATGAGCTGTCGCTAGTCATCAATGTCCCAGTTCTCTTCGTCATCCACCTCTATGGCCGCTGGCTTGGCTTGGGGTCAAAGGGTAGTGCCCAGTGCTGTTGGCTGGATTAATGATGCTGATACAGGGCAGCAGGACTCGGTATTTCGATGAATTGCGATGTGACACAGTTACATCCATCATTGAGTCACTCCTTGGATCTGGTGCACCCAGAACATAGAAATCAATGTATTCAGAATGAGATGAACAACTTAGATACTTTTTACTTAAATTCTGAATATTTATCAATATTTATCATCTCCATTTATGTGGCTTGATGCTAAAAATGTTATAAACAAGATAATAACATGCTAAAAATGGCATTGTTTTTAACCTCTGAGTTCTTAGCACAGCGCTAATTTCCACCCCCTAATGCTCTGCCTCCACTGCCTCCACCACATCTCATATCCAGTGGTCTCTAGGGATGGGCACGGATTAGGCCAATCCAGATGGATACACGAATTGTATAAGGTGGATATGGATAGGACTTTGGGTAACAAAAAGTATCCATGATCGGACTTGAAACACCAACCTCTCAGCTGTTGAGTCAAGTAATTTGCCAGCAGTCAGCAACAGACTAACTTGGCCACTCTAGCATTATTGACCAGCACGCAATCTGCTGGATTATCTGTATCTGTATCCGCAGATTGCGGATAGGTGGCTGTGTGGATATGGATGTGGGTAGGGGGTCTGGTATCTACGGATTTATCCATGCCCATCCCTAGTGGTCTCTAGTATTTGTCTCCTATGGCCACCCCTCTCTGGAAATCTCTCTCTCTGAAGTTACCATTAGGGAATACTAATGCCATTGGCGACCCCTCCAGATGTGGATGCACTACTTTCTTCTGAGACCTTGGAGCCTATGCATCCAGAGGGGTTGGCATCTACTGTCAGGGGATGTGGGTCCAGGTGCCTAGTTGATACCAAAGCCGGGGGAACAGCCCCACAGCCAACTACTTAAGTACATGGCTATCTGCACACGGACCACTCACGTCATCGGTCACAGCCGTCACATCACATGCTCCCCTTACATCCACATTTGGAGAGGTCTCTAATGGCATTAGTCATACCTAAACAGAGATATAGGCAAAGACATGGAGATGTGAGTGAAGATGCGGTGACACTTGAGGGGATCAAGAGATGGGATCAAGTGACAGCATCAGTTTCCCTGACAGGTTTCTCCTAGGCACTAGCCAACTTAATCCTGGAAGGAATGCCCCTGACTGTATTGTAGGTCTAACAGGAATTAAAAAGGCCTAAAAGTTGCTAAAATTTATGTAGAGATAGGCATACTGAATTATACTTAAATATATTCATAATATAATGATAATATACAAAATATGATCATACTATACTACAAATATATTCTTAAGGCTCTGAATATGATATAATGCTAATGTATCATCGCTCAAACACAATATAATTGTATTTGGCTAGCACAAGTTATAACTCATAGTTTAAAAAATTGCCAAAAAAATAGGTTCCAAAAAAAAAATTCACAAAGGCATATGCAGCCCCACTGGCAGTGGATCATAAATCAGACTCAAAAGTCAACACCCCAGAGCTTTAAAGACAGTATAAGGTTTTACTTAGAGTTTCTAGTTTTTTTCATCCGAGTTTTCTTGGGTGAAAATTGTGCCATAGTAGAACCCCCCTACTACTAGTATATATGAATGATTGAACCTTTATTGACCAGGTTCTACGTTGATGCTAAACTCTGAATTACCGTTGCCAAAGGGATCTCCACTGCAATGTCCCAGCGCTTCCAGGCAACAGGGTCATCCTTCCCCTCCAATGTGATGTTGTCCAGCTGCTCGTCCGCATCCTCGATCCTCTTGGTCTCGTCCCTGTTGCCCAGCAGGAACAGCCGGTTCGCCACAATAAGAAAGTCCTGGAGGTCGAGGTCGAGTGCGTACAGGGCATCCCCGAGGTCGAGGCACGCGACGCGCTCGGCGGGCGGGAGCAGGTACTGCCAGACCTCGGGCGTGAGGTGCCTGTTCTTGTGCACCCAGCCGACGAAGATCACGGAGGGCCCGGGCGCAAGATGCGCGGGGGGTGTGGCCTCCCAGCGCTGCCGCTTGAACGGCCGTGTTAGGCTGGAAACTGGCGGGGGGGCCGGCGGGGGAGGGGCAAGGTAGCCCATGCGGTACCAGCACATGCCAGACGGAAGCGCGCCCTCTGTATCCTGGATGTTTTGGGAAGTGTAATGCTCGGTGTGGAACAAGACTGTTGAGGCTTTGGACAGCTCGAACAGCTGCGTGAAGTCCGATCAGCAGATCCACAGAGGGAGCATTCTTACCTTTGTCACGCCGGGCATGCGGCAGCTGTTGGCCAGCAGGATCTTCTGGCCATCATATATCGGCGCGGCACTGATCGGGTACCCGAGGTCGTGCGGCATTGCGCGGTCCGTGACGCGCCACGTCCATACGCCGTTTGCATCCAGTGTCGCGACCGAGAAGGTCCGCAGCAACTCTGCATCGTCCTCGAGCGACGTCCACCCCCCGAAGACAAACAGCTTGTTGGCGTGCGCGACCATTGCCGCCCCGGACCGCCCTTGTGGCCGCTCTCCCTCGGCCTCCACATACCACCACGCTATGGCGCTCGAAACGGGGAAAAAATACCCCCAGGAGAGAAACCTCTATCCGAGGACTTAGCTGTTGCAATGTGAGAACTTTCGTCATTTTACATGACAATGTCTCGGAAGACTGAGCGCCGATAACTTGAACCCTCCGACAACTCGGCATTCCGAGACATGGGAGTGACTCCCGACAACTTGTCGTTTCCGACAACTTAGCAATGCTCAAGATTTGATACCCAATATTAATTGCAATATGTTATTTAAGTCATTTGAAAGGAAGAATCACAGAGGATTATACCTCAGGCTAGTCTTCACTGTATTAGTAGCACTGAGATTTGGCAACAAATGAATGGTATAATGCATAATTATCCACATTACCTTTAGTAATCATAGAGGAGTATAAAATTTATCTGTACAATATCACTTATGGACTGATATTTACATTGCAATTGCCTGATGAATTTGGCTGGAACTAACCAAAACAATACATCATCATATACTAGTGGTATAAAATGTTTATGACTTGAAACAATTTATACTAATATTTCTTTTTGTGTGGTCACCCACTTTTAGCACCTATAACTCACTGTATCCTTCATTAACACCCTCAGATTCATGTGGATGGACATCACAATCTGTTGGAATTATCTTCCATTGTTTCACTTCTTTTGTTTTCTCCAATCCTGACATATCTATTTTTACTGATATATGTTCTGGAACCTAGGTACAATGATTGAGGTGCAGGAGCTAGTATATAATTACTTAGTAGATTTCCCCTCTATAGTAATGGACCTATTATTCAAGTTCTGCTTCTTGTTCCCTGCAACTCCCAAATACACTCTTCTAAAAAAAGGCAAACCACCAATAAATGCCCAAAAATCTAAGAATGTAAAAGGTTTTTTAAGTTGGAAACCATGTATGCTGGTAGCAGGGATAATGATGTATTGTTCTGGGTAGTTAGAGCCAAATCCACCGAAAAATGCACTGTAAGTATCAGTCTATAAATGATATAACTTGAAATATTTGCAAGTGTTTTTTTTTACAAGAACTTGGAATACTTTTCAAAGGTAGTGGACATAATTATGAATTATGCTCTTGGTTTGCTTATTGTCAGATCCACCTTAATCATTGTAGCTTGGTTCCAGAACATATATCAGTAAAAATAGATATGTAATTATTGGAGAAAACAACAGAACTGAAACAATGGAAGATAAAGTCTATAAATGACATTGTAGGTAGAATCCTCTGTGATTCTTTTTAAATTGGTGAGGAATAACTTAAGAATGAGATATTATTGCAATTAATATTGGGCATCAAATGACATTAGTACTGAGTTGTCAGAAGCGACAAGTTGTCGGGAGTCACGAGTTGTCGGGAGTCATAAGTTGTCGGCAAAGGAAATAGCGAGACCTGGGGGCAAAAGAAGCCCGGAGTTCTCGGAACTGTCAAAGAGGTGCCGAGTTTTTCCTCGGAGACCGGTGTTTCTTCTGGGGGTATTTTTTCCCCGTTTCGAGCGCCATACCACGCAAGATTGGTCATGTCCACGCAGATCAGGCGGTCCGAGGCAACGATATCTTCGTTGGAGCCGCCGAAGAGCATCAAGAAAGACTTGCCCGCGACATGCAGCACGGCGGAAGCGGCGTCGGTCAGCGCAGGCAGCTTCTTTTCCTGGGTAGAGCGCCCGCCGTAGAAGTTCGCCATTGGCAGGTCCGGTGGGACATAGCCGACCATTGCCTGGGGTAGCAATCAATGCTCGGCCACATAAAGGCTGGCAACACACCGTTAGGTTTTCCCAGGCCATCGTCTTGATACTCAGTCGATACAAGTCGTTCGTCGGGAGGTTGTCCTCGGGTGTCGGGCCGCGAGCCGCCGTAAAAGTACACCGCCTCCTCTTTATCGTCCGCGACAGAGGGGATCCAGTCATTGAAGATGGGAAGCTCCCCCGTGAGCTTATGCTGGACAAATCGAGGCTTAGCTCGCGATTGCGAAGCTGGCGGACCCCCGCTCCGGCTCGATGTCGGCGAGGAAGAGGCTTGCTGTCTGCGCTTCCCGCTCGACTGCATCGTGGAAGTAGAGACAAGACAAAGCTGTGACAGGGATTCTTGGCTAAAATTTCTGTCTCACGTAATTGTGTTATGTAATGAGTTCTAGCAAATTCGACCACAAACTGCCTATTCTCTTTCAAGCAACGTTATTTGCCATGACATTTTTATACACCACGCATACGTGTTTAGTTTACATTTCACAGATTTTTCCGTCTTCTCAAAGAGTAACACCAAGGTTGACATGGATACCCTTAACTTGTGTGTATCTGCTTCTTATCAGCGGCAAAAACGATGAACAGAGAAAAAGGACATACGTGTCGAGCGCATATTCGCCGTGTTCACGTCCGATGCCGCTCTGCTTGTAGCCGCCGAACGGGATGGCAGGGTCGGTCGTCTGGCCAGTGTTGACAAACGCAGAGCCAGCCTCCAGAGCATGCGCGACCCGCAAAGCCCGTTTGACGTTGTCTGAGTAGACGTACGATGCAAGGCCGTAGACGGTATCGTTGGCCTGCGCGATAACATCTGGCGCAGCGCGTTAGATCCGCCGAACGACCGAGCAACTAGCACAAGCATACCTTCCTCGGTGGTAAACTTCATGATCGTCGTGACGGGGCCGAATATCTCCTCCTTCGCGATGGTCATCTCGGGCTTGACATCGGTGAAGATGGTCGGCTGGATGAAGAAGCCCTCCGAACCATGGCGCTCACCGCCAAGGTGCACCGTCGCGCCGTCCGCCTTGCCCGAATCGATGAACCCCATGATGCGCTAGAGCAAGTCAGATGACTGTGCGATGGGACGAAGAAGACAAATGCAGATCCTACATCGAATTGGGTCTGGGAAACCTGCGGAGGCGTGAGTGATCTCCGCCGATGCGGGACTGTGGGTACGTGCCTGAGGCCCATGCTTCGTAGTGTGGTCGAACGGGTCGCCGGTGGCGTTTCCCAGTGCCTGGATGGACGCGCTATAGGCAGCGATGAACTTGTCGTAGATGCCCGCCTGAACGAAGATACGGGAGCCGGCGATACACGACTGGCCTGTGGAGACCGTGAGCGAAAAAGATAGGTTGTTGAAGCAGACAAGATACCCATGTTCGCGCTATCGTATATAGTTAGCGCAGGAATCACACGTTTTGGAGATAACCAGACTTACTACATCGCCTGCGTCACCCACTTGACCGTCTGCTCGAAATCGCAGTCGTCAAACACGATACTGGGGCTCTTTCCACCCAACTCCAAAGTGACGACTTTGAGGTTCGTCCTCGCAGCCGCTTCGAGAACCTTCCTGCCGACAAGGGTGCTACCGGTGAAGGCGACCTTGTGGATGTCCATGTGCTCCGCGATCGCGGCGCCGACCGTGATGCCGTATCCGTTCACGATGTTGACAACGCCGGGCGGGAACCCTGCTTCCACGCAGAGCTCCGCAAACTTGAGTGCCGATAAGGGTGTCATTTCAGAAGGCTTGAGCACGATGCAGTTGCCGGTCGCGAGTGCGGGCCCCACTTTCCACGAAAGCATGAGAAGGGGGAAGTTCCCTAGACCATGCTTGTCAGCGTCAAGAAGCCAGATAGAACAGGCAACACACAGGGAATGATCTGGCCCACGACGCCGAACGGCTCGTGCCTCGTATATGCAAACTTGTTTTCGTCTGTCTCGATGACCTTGCCCTCGATCTTGTCCGCCCAGCCGCCGAAGTAGCGGATGCAGCGCACGGACCCCATGACGTCCGCCGCCTTGGCAACGGGGAATGGCTTGCCGACATTGACGGTTTCGAGAGCAGCCAATTGGTCGGCGTCCCGCTCGATGAGGTCCGCAAGCCGCAGTAGGAGCTTGCCCCGCTGGTACCCCGGGACCTTGAGGCCCCAGCTCGACTTGTATGCCTTGTGGGCAGCCTTAACCGCGATGTCGACGTCCTTCTTCGAGCCAAGCGACACCTTCGCAATCGTCTCGCCCGTGCCTGACAAGTATCAGCCCCCGTCTCCCGTCCTACGATGCCTACGACGCACTGGGATTGGTGATACTAGCCCACCGTCAGCCTCCCAAAACCAAAAGAAGATGGCCACGCACTCGATCGTGTCTGGCTCGACGGGGTCGACCCACTGGCCGCCGATGAACAGCCCCGTCGGCACCGTCACCGTGCCCTTGAAGGTCGCCTTGTCGAGCGTGATAGAGGTCGTTCCCGGCATCTTCTGTTGGGGGAGGGAAGCCCGTGGCGCTGACTTATATACCCACCCCGGCCCGGTCACCAGACGTGTCATCGATGTCATCCCTGCCCACCCTGAATCGTAATCAGGGCTCGGCATAGGGCGACCCCGTATTATCCGCACGTCCCACGAGAGCATCAGAGATGCGTATGTGGTAGAGAATACACATCCTCGTCGACGCAGATGGGGATCGATGGCTTATCGGTCCACTCGACGCCCATCGATGCGCATAGCCGCCCATCCACGTGTGACGTGGAAGAAGGAGGAAAGAAGTCACTGCAGGAGTTCGGGAATAAACGGTGCCCCTTTCGATCCATTATACACCTAAAATCAGTGTACCAAAAAAAGAAAATTTTTTATACCTCTATTTGCACCCAAAAGAAATTGTTCCAAATTTGCCCTGCTTATATGAGAAATAGATGCTATAAACAGACTCAGTTTTGTCCCCCGGTTTGGGGGCAGATTAAACACCCTTTTCTAGACCAGCTTTTGCATCAAAATAGGGACCTAAAAATATGGTCCAGGGCCCTGATATATATCATATAAGTGAATATATGTGAATATCTTTGGTTCATGTTTTGATACAAAAACTGATCTAGAAAAGGCTGTTTGATCTGCCCCAAAACCAGTTGACAAAACTGAGTCCGTTTATAGTATCTATTTCTCATATAAGCAGGCATATTTGGAACAATTTCTTTTGGGTGCAAATAGAGGTATAAAAAAATTCTTTTTTTGGTGCATTGATTTTAGGTGTATAATGGATCGAAAGGGGCACTGTTTATTCCCAAACTCCCGCAGTGAGTGTGGCATGGCATGTGCCAGTCACGGTCACGAGATGGCGTCGCCATGCAAACACTTCTAAAAATTATAACATGGTATACTTACTACATATTATAGGTACACTAATCACTGATCAATTCATCCTGGTTGCCTGCAAGGTGTAAAAATTATAGCCATTTTTTTTACAAAAAGTTTGAGGCATTTGGTACCTTGAAGTTAACTAAGCCCTCTCAGAGTAGCAGTTTTGCCTGTGTACTCTTAGAAGCCCTTAGAAGTTAGTGAACATAGCTGCTTACTGGTAAGTAGTCTTTGTGATAGGCCATGGAAGGCAGTACTGTAGTATTTTACTCAGTTTGCATGTTACGTGTTACATTGCCGATTTTTTACAATTTTTTTTCCTGCATGTCACACAGATTTAAGCACAAGGATGTCCCAAAAGGGTAATTTTTAAGATTTCCAGGTGCTTTTGGTGTCAAGAGTTAATTCAAATTGAAATTTTCGTATCCCATGTCACACTAAAAAATCACATTCAAATTAAGTTAAATACTACAATAATTGCCCCTGACATAATTATTGATCATAGAAAAATCAACTCTTGTATTAGTAAAAGTTATTTAGCTGTATAGCAGAATTTATCTAGTATATGAAAACACAATAGTGCTGACATTGATTAGAGCAGGAAACCATCAAGAGAAGAACATGATATCAAGGAAAAGAGGAGTTAAGTTATTAAAATGCTGAGTAAAAGTTGTTTAGCTGTATAGCAGAATTTATCTAGTATATGAAAAAACAATGGTGCTGACATTAATTAAAGCAGAAAATCATCAAGAAAAGAACACAATATCAAGGGAAAGAGGAGTTAAGTCAGTAAAATGCTGAAAGCACAAGGACAGAAACAACGAGCTAACTAAGAGCATCAGGAAATCTTTGTCAGGGATCAATGTCACAAACAGAGCATTAGGAAATCTTTGTCAGGGATTAATGTCACAAATAAAGCCGGATCAGATGATAGGCCAACTTAATGGATGATCAAATGATCTAACTTCGTAGTGGTTGATGATGAGATCAAGTTGTATTGATAGAACCGGATGACTATTTCCCAGAAGGTAGAAGGGAAAAGAGAATAAAAGCGCTGGGGGCAGAAGGCCACCAGCGTCCTACTTATATACTAATTCCAGGCTAACTGATACTGACTCACTCTGACTCATACTGACTCACCCTAACTCACGTCATGACTCACTCTAACTCGGATTGATATGACTCAGTCTGAGTCATTAATAGATTGATGGATGATATCATCTAACCAAATATGGTAAGGCTGTGCTAGCCTTCGTTTGGGGTTAGTTGGTGTGATGTGGTAAAGGTTGATGATATCATCAGAAATTGATGATGGGATCAAATGTGCTGCTGTCATCAGTGATCAGCCTAGAAAGTGTAACAATCAAGCTCCCAAGAATGCTCAGTCCCTTCTGAATGCATCACATCTTAGTGGTATGCTTAGTAATGCTAGTCGACTTGTCTGTAATGGTGCAGTACAGGTGGTGGCAACTTGAGAAGATACCCATCTTCCCACTTACTTTCTTCACTAACTTCAACTAAGTTTCCATCTTAGCTAACATTGTTGCTCCAGCGATCTAAATTATCTGGGCATTGCTTAGCATCATCATCTCCATCTTTGCCTGCCTCTTCCTATCCTTCCCCTCCCATTTCTTATTAGTAGCTATCCCAGCCAGCTTTAAAGCACTCAGGTCAGCAAACCCTGGTATAGACTTCTTGTTATTAACACTCTTTAAGAGGCCACACTCATACAAGATGGCAGCAACACAGTGCTTATATAGAATTTAATTATTGTCCTAAAGATGCTGGATGCAGCAGAGGGAAGATGGAGTATTGTTGTTGGTAATGGTGGTTGACATAGTAATTATAGTAGTGATAGTAATGAGAAAGGTTTGTTTATTATTATAGTTAGTTTTGGGCGGGACCTATAACCTATTAAAAGTAAAAGTAGTGTAAACAAATAAACTTGTAATTACTGTCGTATGAATATATAGTATAAACAATGCCTAACAAGCATGTTATTAAATATACATACTATCGTGTGTATGTAATTAGTTTTGAGCAACAAGCATGCTGGCTCTGTGCTATTATTCTGCGTCATTTATTATAGTTAATACAACAAAATAGTGCGCTTAGTGCACTGTTTTCAGCAAACTCTTAAAGCCCCAGCCCCGTCCTCTAACAATAAAGAAGTACAGCAAAGTTATTAATCCCAAATTTGCCTCACACTCCTATATTCTCTTCTATCAATACTAATTAGAACCTAATAGAATACTGCTGGTTAGTCAAAATATACTTAATATGCTACATTATTGCTAATTAAAATGTTCGCGCTCTGATTTCTATTATATACTTGTTTGCAACCTGTTAGCAGTAAGTATATGCTTTACTTAATAGCAATCAAGAATTTATTACTAGGATTCCTTAAAACCTAGTGATAAATTCCTTAAAACTTGATAACTCCTTTATTTTTTAGGAAGCTTTACAAAAAACTTTACCAGATAGCTTACTAGATCCTTAAATTCCATCCTCTGTTCTTTCTATATGCTAATATGTTCGCTAGCTCATTGCTGCAAAGTCTAAAAATAATGACACACCTTTCTGCTTATAACTCCATAACTGTCTAAAACACAATTCTTTATCCCTAACCTAACCTAACCCTGACCCTAATTTGGAAGTTGTGACATATTCGAAAGGTGTTACTACTAAGCCCCTTTATGGATTTCACTCCAGCCCCCACCACCATCTATGCAAGCAAGACCAGCGCGATGATCAGCGAGGCTGAGAAATTTGCTGAGTTAGAGGAATACCTAGAGCAAACGACCTCGCCCGAGGGATATGTAGATATGTGGGAGCCTATGTGCTTTCGTGCATGGTCATACCTCTGCCTGCCATTGTAACTCATTGAACTACACAGCATCTGGCACTGACGAGGCAGTTGTCGACTTTTTTAAGGGGTCGCAAGCTATAACCGATCCCGCATTGCTCAAGAGGTATATCACACAGTTGGGCCCCCAGGAGCACATGATTCACTGCAGTCTCATTGACACTAATGCTGATTACACGGCGGAGCAGCCTCTCAAGCATAGGCTAGCCTGTCTGGAGAATGAGATCTAGCTGGGTAAGTGACCGTAGTCTCTGCAGCGTTGAAGTCGATAATTTTAATTAGGGGGCCTTAACTCATCTGGCGACAACAAGCTCGTTGTGATCTGCCATACTCCTTTTAACCTTGTGACGTGGAACACGGATGGATATCCCCAAGACGCTGTAGAAAAAATGGCCACACTTCACTCTCATCTGTGGCCTCACTCGTCTGGGGCCTCACTCGTCTGGCAGTTGCTAAACGCCATGGCCTGGGCATGTGGAAGTGTGAGATCCTACCTCCCAAAGCCTTGCTCATTAAGCCCGCGTTTTCCAAGCCTTTGTAGGCGCTGATGCTAGGCAGGCATAACTATAGGAGTTACAAGTGCATTTCTCAGCATTAAGTTAGTATAGCCAAATACTAATGGACACATATTCTAGCATAAGATTATATACTAAAGCACCTTAGAACTAGCACAGGTACCTCTACTTACCTACAGGTTTGTTTATGCATTTTAGCCATATCTGTATTGTCTATAGATACAGGTATCTTTATAGGTACCTATGGATAGTTCAAAGATAGCTTAGGTGTTAACAAAGAAGATATAGAGGAGGTAAACTATACTTTAGGTTAATATGTAAAAATATAAGTATATATTACACTATTTAAGGCTGTATTATCCATTATAGACTGATTCTTGAAATATTTTCATAATTTTACAGGCTTTATTAATTAAATCCAATACCTTCACTTCCTATCATTAAAAGGTACCTTTATCCACAGATAGAGGTCTTAGATACCTGTTAAACTATCCTCAGGTCTAGCTACTTGCAAAAAGCTTTATTGTATGTAGAGGTAATGCCTTTTTCCTAGGTGCGTTTAGGTGACATGCTGTAAGTTATTACAAAAGAGGGGATAATGCGGTAACCTAAGCATAGTAAATTATGATTTGCTTTATTGGCTTTGAGGGGGGGGGATATTGTAATTAACTTTACATAAGCAAGCTTATAATGTATAGTATTAACTGTCAATCTGTAATTTAAATTGAAAAACAACTTTTTTTATCTGACTAATATATTTACTAGCTACTACAGGTTTTTTATTTCACTTAATAATCTATTGATATTATAGTTACTTCTACTTTAACTATCCCTAAAAGTTATGCCATCTATTTAATCTATTGCGTTATTAGTTTAGATGTAGCAGCAACTCTGAGTTCTTGCATCCAGCCCAAACATTATGTATCATCTATTTACTAGTAGCTAGAGTTACAAGTATCATTTTTCTGATTACTGTAATAATGCATTTCCAGGAGTTTCTAATGTCCTCGCCATCTATTTAATCTATTATATGATCAGTTTAGATGTAGCAGCAACTCTAAGTTTATGTATCCAGCCCAAACATTATATATCATCTGTTTAATAGTAGCTAGAGTTATAATTATTATTTTTCTGGTTATTGTAGTAATACCCTAATAGTCTAAAGGTATTATTACTGGCTGGTTCTTCCTTTTAGCTATGACCTATTTCTTTTTTAACTAACCTTTATATAGGCACTAACATTTAAACTTCTTTGCTTTTAAATAAATGGCCTTTTCTATACTGCTTTGATATTTCTTGTCCTCCCTTTGCTATTTTGGAAGTGTTTTTTTGTATCTATACCATGCTCTGATGCTTTTGTGTTACCCTTTTAGTATCATAAGTCCTGTATTTTAATGTTAAGCTTGCTCTGGCTCTGTTAGATATCAACTCTGGCAAAGTGAACAAAGTCAGGTTTTTGGCAAGTCACCAGCCAATTATTTAACTATTACTAATGCTCAGAAAGATTGTCCATGAGCAAGTTAAGTGTATATTCAACTTAATTCTGGGGCTTAGTATAAGCTATAGGTCACCTAAAATAGTTATTGTCTAAGCTTAAGTTACAGGTAATATCTGTGCTTATTAGCTTTAGTTGATTACTCAACTGAAAATATAAATTTATGTTATCAACAAATCTTGTTCTAGATTTTAGTGTAAAAAGGTAATTGACCTTAGTCTTACAAAACTATCTGCTTATCAATTAACCTATTATATACAGAAATATATACCTTCGATAGGTACTAAAGCTTCTAAAATTCACTTAAAACTATTGCTAACTAATTTTTTAGGTTGAAGCCTGTCTTCCTAGAGCTTTTATACTATTTGCATATAAGGGCAACCCTAGAGGCTTTAGTGAGAGTCCTAGCAAGAAAGAAGATCTGCCTACTAAAACACTAATATACTAATTATCTATATCTACTAATATAAACCGCAGAATGCCTGAGCAGCATTGCATACAGATAGTCTAAAGGAGGCTAAAGTAGGGGCTTCCTTAACATTACAGATCTTATCTCCTTACTTGCTCCCCTATAGCATTTTTTATACTGGTAAATACTTGAAACAGCTGGATATTTAATAGTAAGTTTAAATTTGGTGGTGTGCTGCAGCTTTTAACCTCTGGTTAGTTTTGGGCCTTAGAATTCAGTTCATACTGTATATTATCTAGTCTAAAGAATCCTGTGGCAGATCTAACATGCGGGCTTGTTAAAATATCAATCAGTGTCATGAGTATTGTGATACAGGCATACGCAAACCTTCAAACCTTAAAGATAAGAGCTTACTTAGTAGCATCAAATCCGACAACAGTCTTTAGAGGTGGCTGTGCGGGTATAGATATGAGTAACACCTCAGATACCCATAGCTTTATCTGTGCAGTCGCCTAATAATAGATAAGGTGGGTAGATAAATGTGATGTTGGTCAAATGGTATATCTTTCAAATAAGTTCTCTTTCAGCATTATTTATCAAGGCTAGCTGAAGATGTTAAAGATACCCCGCTTCCTTGCTGGCTTACGCGAGAGCCGACCCGTAGATAGTCGTAGTTTGTCCTCCTTGCACTATAGACAAAGTACAGAGGCAAACCATAAAGACCGTTTTACCCCCCATCATCTACCCTGGCGACCGGTTGGGCTTCCCAGCGCCAATCTGTCACATCGGCATCAGCCACGTGCCTCGTCGCACGCCAAGCCGCCAAACGCCAACAGAAGATCCATGCTTATTCTTCAGTACTTATGCAAATCAGCTACTACTAATAAGGGAATATATTGTATTCTCAGTTCTATTTTGACTAGAAGTTTGAAGTGGACATACTAAAGTCTTACTTAGTTCAAAGCATCTCAATGTACTAGTCACTTACCTTAATTCCTTAAGTAGTAGATATTCTCTTTTATATAATTGAATAGCAAGTAAATAGATTATGTTATATGTTGGTGATTAAACATTATAACTAATTAATAGTACTTTTTAAAACCTTCCTAGTAGTACTTCAATAATGTATCCATCTTTAGTAGTTATGGAGATAGAGGCTCATCAGTTGTACATCAGCTAGTACTTAGCTAGTGCTGGCATAATTATTCAGCTGCTGTGGAAGTGCGATGTGTCTTACACATCACATTCACGGTCCGGCGGGTTTGACCCAAGAAAGCCCGATTGACAGCGTGACCCGCAATGAGCGGGTAACGCTGTCAATGAATCCTTTTCTTCTTCACTCCTTCACCACCAACTACTTTCCTTTGCCTCGCGCCTCTTGGCTGGCCAACCACGACGAGACTACGCACAAGCAGCATGCTCGGGATGGATCCACCGTGCCAGGTCGCCACACGTCAGACATGCATTTGAAGGAAATGGTTCTGGGCCACGAAAGTACGCACAAGTTAGCTATCTATTTCACATTTCGCTTCTCCACCACCATCACATTCCATATTCATCCCATCCCCTCTCCACTCTATTTGCGTCAGCATACTCCGTTCAGTCGGCTGGATTGTGCTGGGGATTGACGCGAACATGGTCTGGGCAGCCACGTTCAGTGCTGGCGGGGCACCAGTCTCCCTATGAAGTCTTTGCGCAAGCCCCGCCGGCTGTTCAGATTGTGCTGGCGCAAGTAGACCTTCACATTATCATATGGCCACTCTACGATACATGGGCACTGACGTCACATGAGTACACGAACGGTCATACCGTAGGACTTATATTGTCATATGTCATCCACATAAGTATCTTCCCCCCCCCTTCTTAAGCCCCGCGCAATAAAAGGAGAACTTTTATTTCCTATTTTCTTCTCCTCCTCGATATCACACACGCGTTCGACGCGTCGAGCCCAGTTTCACCTGACCTCGCCACCTCTTCTGTCCCCCAAGGGACAAATCATTTCTTCGTCACTGCCACTACAGGTCAATTAATGAAAGTTGTCTAAATATATAACTTTAGTGGTGTGACAATCTGTAACATTCTCTGATGATTGTACTGTCAAATAGCAGGAATTTCCTTTGTCAGAAATTTGTCATCCCTGTAACACAATGTAACAGTGCTGAACTCAGGCCAAGGGTCTCTAGTCTTTAATTATTTATTATTATTCATTCTCTGATGACTATCTCATTGGTATATAGACTTTATTAACATTATTCATACCTTGTAGACAAGTGACAAGCCTACAATGTATTAGACTTAGTTAAAAATCACCTTAAGAACTTGAAAAATTTACAATTATTCATTTATTTATCTATGGATTATTCATTTCTATAAGAACTAGGCAAAATTATATAAGAACTAGGCAAAATTACGTTGCTTCACAGTGTTACCATGCCAGGTCAACCAGTACATATAGCTGTATTTATGCAAAAGATGTTGTGATAGATATATTCCAGGAATTTCTCACACTAATCACAATACAATAGAGTGCTGGCCAAATACAATTATATTACATTTAAGAGATAATATATTATAATTATATGCTATTCAGAGCCTCAACACAATAATATATAATTATCTTAAGATTTAATCTAGTATGCATATCTGTATATAAAATTGACATGGTTGTCACAGGAAAATTTGCAAGATTGTAAGGATTACTTTCTTTTAGGCCTCTTGAATTCCCTTTGGACCTATAGGGACCCTCAAAATACAATCAGAAGCATTCCGCGTGTTCTGTTCTGTCTGATTAGAGAGACTGGGTGCTTGAAATTTGGGCAGTCTGCCTGTCCGGGATGTTCCTGGTGAAATGGAGGAGGAGTGGCGATAGATGTAAACTGGCTTCTCGCTCTGTCTTTTTTCGACTTGGAAGATAAGACTACGAGAGGAAACGGCTCTTCGAGATATGCTAGTTTTTTTTTTGGGGGGCGATGGTAGATGGAAGCACGGGTGTCTGAGTCGTAGACGAAATCGGACCGCCGGACGAGCTAATTTCGGCGCTTGATAGATAGATGGATCGCTGGGAAGGCGCTGATTAACTTTGGAGTGGCTCCCCGCGCGTAATGTGACCGGCGCGCGCGCGCTGCGCGCTTCGGTTTCGGTTTCGTGGGTGGGCCAAGCCAAGCGGAGCCAAGACCGGCAGCCCCGACCCGACCGGACGACAAGGATCCGGGCTAGGGAATGATCATCAGATCCGGGCCCAGCGCCACATGGGTGGCAGCTGTCACGCAGACTTTTTTCCCTTCCCTTCTGCTTCCTTCCTTCCTTCCCCCGCCCGGAGAGCAAGAGAAGAGAAGGCGATGGCGTCCTGGACGAGCACGGTGCACACGCTGGCGCCGTCCGCGCGCTGCCCGTTCCACGTCGCCGCGGTGCAGTACGTCCCCGCCGCCGCCCCAGGCAAGGACGGGCTGACGCTGGTGTTCCTGCACGCGACGAACACGCACAAGGAGTCGTACGAGCCCGTGCTAAGGCACCTGCTCGACAGGATAAGCGTGCGCGACGTGTGGTGCATCGGTGCGTGGGTCGTTTTGCGTGGGTAGGCAGCTGACGGCGCTGGCAGAGAACCCGAACCACGGGGCGAGCGCGGTGAAGAATAGAGAGCTGCTGGAGAGCGCGGAGTACAGGGAGACGTGTGCGTGGCTCTGGGATATAACTAACTGGTCATGACGCTGACGGTGTGCAGGGAGCGCGGCGGAGTACACCCGCGCGGCGCACGCGTTCCTCACCGCCACCGAGCACGGCGTCGACTTCCGCGCCCGCACCCTCGTCGGGCTCGCACACTCCGCAGCCTCCGCGCCGCTGTCCGTCCCCTTCCCCCTTCTTCCTCCCGCTCCCCGTGCTGATCGTCGGCAGCCTGATGCTGCAGCGCGCCGCGCCCGCGGTGCCCTTCGCGGGGCTCGTCTTCATGGACGCGGCGATCCTCCCGGTCGGGACGCGCGCCACGCAGGCGCTCTGCGCGCTCTTCGGGAACTGGGCCAAGTCCAAGCCGCACACGTGGCCCGACCTCGCCGCGGCGCGGCGCAACCTCGCCGCGACGGCGTTCCGCGGGTGGGACCCGCGCGCGATAGACCTGTTCGTCCAGCACGCGATCCGGCCGGTCGATGAGTTGGATGAAGGGAAGAAGGGCGTGACGCTGGCGTGCTCCACCAAACAAGAGGCGGCGTACTACCTCGCCCCGGGCGCGGACCTCGTCGCCGGCCCCACGCAGGTCTTCGACGCGCTCACCGCCGCGGACGCGACGCCGCTGCACGCGATCATCTGCCTCAACGACGAGTACAGGGGCATGGGGACGGAGATGAAGACGTACCAGATCGAGCGCGTGAGGCGCATGCGCAACGGCAGCGTGCAGATCATCGAGGGCGGGCACATGTTCCCCCAGATAAACCCGCGCGGCACCGCGCGCGCTATAGAGAACGCGCTGGAGAAGATACAGGCGCGGTTAAGGGGGGCGGCGCCGCTGAGCCGGCTGTGAGCTTAAAACGTATTTATTACAGGCGTAACTTATCGGGATTCGGAGGAGGGGTAGACTACAAGGAAACGCGGTAGAGCACTGATGTATTTATGTATTTATCCAAGTTGGGCAACGATAGTGAGCCCCAGAGGCCCCCCCCAGACAGTGGACGTGGACACGCCCCGCAGCCCGGTCCAGAGCATCCGCCTGAGTATCTGCGTGCCCGCGCGCTCTGCCTGCGCGCTCTGGCGTTTCCGGTGTGCACCAGGGTGCAGCGAGCATCTCCAAACCTGCGACGCCGCGCCAAAAACGCCGCGCCAAAAATCACTACACTGATGACGACATCCGGGCTCGAACGGCGATGGTCCCAGCGACGCGTGCCCGGGTCCGGTTGCACGAGAAGCGGGCCGCCACAGAAGTACATACAAGATAGGGGGATACCCGCACTGCGAACGTTGGCGCGGCATCAGGAAAACCCTCCCACGCAGGAAAACCCTCCCACGGGGCTGTGCCTTTTCCTACCTCACCCCAAAGGTAAAGGAGGCGTTATCGACTCATCGGGCCCGACACGACCCGATTCGAACCTTCGACCACCGACCACGGCAAGGGACCGAGTTCACGGGCCCTTTCGGTTTCGATCTACCCCACCCGCCGTACTTGCGGGCCCGACTATCCGTCTGTTCTGTTCCAGGCGCGCGTTCTTAGGAGAGGGCCTTGCACGGCCCGACCCGCAGTCTGACATTAGTGCTGGCCAAAATTATATTATGGTTGACTAAATATTGAATATATTCAGAATATTATGAATATATTATTCAGAATATTATGAATATATTATGCCCTTGGTGGATCACTTGAATATGATTATGTTTGAATATATTATATTATATTATGACTATACTATATTATAGTCACAGAATATTCAACATGGATGATCACAGCTATTTTCTCAGTCTATCTACTCAGTCATAGTACTAATCTTAGTCTGAGTTAGCCCTATTTCTAATAAATGTCACATATTAATAAATTATCTATTATATATAGTGATTCATACATTACTCCTAGTAGGAATAAGTGTCAGGAGTGATCACTTTGGGTTGACCCTATTTAATCTAGTGTAGAACCTCTGATCAAGTGTCTACTGGCCAACCTAACACTAGTGGCAATGCCCCTGATTGTATTTTGAGAGTTTTATGTAACCCAGGCTGGAATTAGAGGCCTGAAAGGAAGTTGCCATGACAATCCAGCATGTATTGTATGTTTTTGATTGTTTTCTAGCAGCAAATATGTCAAATATATCAAGAGATATGCATACTAGAATATAGTTGAATATATTCATAACATATTCATATTTTGCAGCTGAATATACTATACTACAAATATATTATTGAGTTGGAGCTCTGAATATGATATGATTATAATATATTATGCCCATAAAATAATATAATCATATTTGGCCAGCACTAAGATGAATGGTTACGATCACGCCCGCGGTGGGTCTGAGCCCAATCCAACACCATCCTGCGCTTCACCGTCTCTACTTGGCCTTGGGAATGACGTGTGGAGGAAGAGATGGTGAACAGTTGTGTTAAAGAGACTCTGCTTCCTTGCTGGTTTACACGAGAGCCGGCCCATAGATAGTCATAGTTTGTCCTCCTTGCACTATAGACGAAGTACAGAGGCAAACCGTAAAGAGTCGTTACCCGTTACCCCCCATCATCTACCCTGGCGACCGGTCGGGCATCCCAGCGCTGATCTGTCGTATCAGCATCAGCCACGTGCCTCGTCGCATGCTAAGCCGCCAATTGCTAACAGGTTGTTGCATGCTGCCAGCGCGAAGGAGAAGAGGAAGAAGTTGCCTGCGCAAGTCTTGGTAGAGGACAGGAAGAGAAGAGCCGATGATGTGATCCATGCGCGTGTGACGAGTGCTCAATTTGTCAACACATAACCACGACGCTGATCTCCAGACTGTTACTATACCGTAACCTGGCCGAATGAAGGTCAGTAGAACTGACAAGTCCTCGATGGCGGCCAATCAACGACTAGCCATGGCGAAAATGTTTGAGTAGAAGGGGGTCGATGGAAGACCAGGGTACCGCAGATCATCAGCCGATAACATCAAGTCACACATGTCACATCAAGTCACACATATCACATTACTTGCTTTGCAAGGTCTTTATTCGACAGTTGTCATGCGCTGATCATGTCTTAGCCAAACATGTACAACTTTGCCTAACCCATCACTCACCCTATCCAAAATCTCCCAAATTCTGTAAAAACCTCGGCGAAACCACTTCTTAGCTTTTCCCTTCATTTTCTTCATTCTGTGCATTTATATAATTTTTCCCCCTCATATAGTCTACTAATGCACAAATCCACACTTATATTATACTGCTAAGATTCAGTTTCAAATTTGTAAGAAAATTTCTCTAATTTAAGAATGTCATTCCTCTTTTGGTTTCCGCAAAAGGGACCGTATGCCACTTGTCTTTTCCTGTCATCTCTCTTTTCCCTTCAACTTCAATTTCACCTCTTGCAGCCTGCTCGTAAGTATTTCCTTGCCTTTGGTTTATTCACTCATATGAACCCTCTTTCCTCTCTCTTGCAGTATTGAAAGTTTGATGTGAGTGGTTTTAAAATCTACTGAAGTATATTTTTATTTGTTAGCTTTTCTCGGTATGCTCACCTTCCTTCTGTTGAAGAATTTCACCTACTTGTCAACTATAACAGCAACTAGTATTTCTACCTCCCCTGGAGGTCTTGCAAATACAGCGCCTTGCTTACGCTTATGCTGGCTTTTCTAGTTGTTCCTCCTCTAAGTATTATTGTATTCTTAACTGCAATAGTAATCCTATGTGCAACATGTTAACATGCCATATCCCAATTAGCTTGATCTCACCTATGAGCCCTCGACTCCAAACATCAGACTGCTTTCGTAGTCCACCCACAAATCCCTGCTATCAGCATGTTTGTATTCACAACGACACTCTTTCTCTTCGTCTGCAAAATGTTGCTTCTTACAATATGCAGGCTGTTTTTTGTAAATTCTATGGCCGCAAAAGGATCTTTGACCACGGGGTTCTTTATCTTCATTTTGCTCATATGCTATTAATTTATTTGGGGGCATTTTTAAGGCTTATTTATCAAGGTTTTGCATGCAGGTGGGAGGAAACAAGGGATGAAACGCAATAAGCATTCCAATCGGTATTGTTTCAACTTTAACACCCTGTACGCACATGCATGGAACGTGTATTGCATGTTCATTGCCTCTAGCTAGTGCAAAAGCCAGTTCTCCTTTATCTTGGTTGTTAAAAGTAGTGATTGAGGGGAGTAGAATTGCAAATATTGAAAGTCGTATGGTTTTTGGTGGAGAGAAAGGACCTTTAAGACAATAGAACTAGCAGGAGTGACTTCAGTAAGGTTGGTCTCTTAAATGTTGCTTATCATTCGTAAGAGATATTCACTCTAGCATCTCAATCAACTGAAAACCATTAAATACACAATCAGTTACACACTAAGTCGTCTCTCTGTCATTTGACGCCCGACTTTTTGCTTCCTCAGTCTGCAACTGCCCGTTTCTGCTGTTTTTAGTGTGAGTCAGACAAGTACTATTAATTAATGTGCCTTACTTGAATACTAATTAATATTTACTTTATCTTAAGCACTTTCTATGTTCCCCACCCTACGGCAGTCGATCAGGCAGCATTAATTAAGGTAAAAGAGGCACAATGAGCAAAGAAAAATGAGCGCATTTGTAAGAGATCACCTGCTTTGTCATTCATCACGGCTCTCTACCTTATTTTTTTCTCAGACATGCTACTACTACACCTCTTCAGAAAAAATTGAGATTAGAGAGTTTCCATACTTAATATACTTATATCATCTTTTGACACCTCTTCTGTTTGACGGTCAAGTTCTCACAAGTTTTTGTATCTTCCCGAGTATTTAAGGCTTATGCACATTGCAGACTTAGTAGCGTCAGCAGAGATAATGTGTTTAAGTTATATATCTCTTGTATGCTTATAAGAACTCAACTACCATGCCGTACTCATAACCTCAGCCGTCACTGTCGTCTGCTATGTTACAAATGAACTTGTTGGTGAACTTCTTAGTTAAAATACCTCCAAATCTTAGTCTTAAAACCCCACCTTTCCTTATAGAAGTTAATGAATGCAAGACTGAACAACATCCCTTCATTGAGGTTTATACAGGAAAAGAAGCTGTTATTTACTTGTCTGGAAAGGTTGTAGGTGATGAAGATGGCGCTTGGGGCGTAAGTTTCAATTAGTTTAACCATTTCTTTTATAAACAATTATCTTAGAATTTCATTCACATCTGCGCTTAAGGCAACTCTTTTCTAGCTTCTAGCTTCCAAGAAGCAATAGTTCAACTTAAAGGCCTCATAGAGGCGTCTAAACCTCTTGAAGATTAGGTGTGCATTATTTTATTGAAAGGCCCTACTAATTGAAAAGGTTTTCAGCGAGTTGCTAATTACTCTTACTTCACTTTGATCACCTCTACTGCAACTGACTTCGTGGTTAGAATTCGAGTGTCAAATAAAACACAACAGGTTCATTTCTCTTTCTTTTTCAGCTCTCTGACTTTCTTCTAGTCCTTATTACAATATGATGAGATGGAAGGTTTTGGAGCTGCCGCTACTGGAAATTATACCTGTCTCGCTTTGGGAGCTGACGTTTGATGCGTTTTCCAATTTAGACGAGAAGACCGTGCTCTCCTTGAGTATGATGATGGGTTAATTTTCTAGTCAGTCGTAAGCCTTCCCTCTTAAGTTTGCTTCTGGTTTTTAGAAGATTTTGCAGGCTTGGATCCTAGAAGCTTTAGAAATTACTTGCTATCATTCAGATACCTCTAAGATGTTTAGTTAGCGTCGCATTTGCAAACTGCAGGTTATTGTTAGCTCTTCCTCTGAGTCATCCGAGGAAAGTGAGTGCTTCGATGACTCTGATGACTTTGATTACCACGCTAATAACCCTATAGATGATGATGTTGAAGATATAGATGGA